TTGGAAATTAACAAGAAGGCGACACTCGGACAGGCATATAGTACATGAGTACCGTTACCTAGTATTTACAGTATCTGCAGCTTCTCCCTTGTTAATTTGTTAATTCATTGTTATCAGCGTTATAAAGTAAACTGCACCGAACACAATAATATCACACCCAATAATTGATAATTCAAAATCACTGTCAGTTTAATAACGCAATGTGTATTTGAAAAGTTTATCAGATCTACAGATGCACCCGCACTAAGAGAAACATGTCGAATTCAAAGTGTTTTTTTCACGTTACGGCTCGCCGTGACCGAGAAAAATCGGTTCACCCTCCCATAAAAAGTTATTACTTGAAAAAATATTTTGTTTATTATCGATAATTTAGAAAATATAGGGTCTTTTTGAAAAATTGACAATATTTTTTATTTTTTTCCGCATCGCTAAAGCGAGCAAAGTTCTCAAATTTTGATGTTGCCGTTTCAAGTTTGACCTAAAAAGAGTATATGACTAACCTACCTATAAAAGTGCCGAAAGTGGGAGACYCTRTCTATCAACTGACTWTTTCTATTTTGTAGGCTCCAAACTAATAATAGTCCAAAGCTGCACAATGACATAAAAGAAGAAATTTCAATCGAAGAAAACGAYATATTGCAAATGGTAAAATTGGAAAAAGATGCGAAACATGAAAATGCAGAAACCAAGCAGCTCAAGTGCAAGATGTGTAGCAAAACATTTGTACGTTTGGGGACTTTAAAATCGCATTTAATCACACATTCAAAGCAACACCCATTTAAATGTGAACTGTGCGGCTTATCGTTCGTCAGAAAATATCAATTGACATATCATCAAAACAAACATACAAAAGAAAAACAGTACGAATGTCAGGTCTGTCGAAAAAGTTTTATAACTGCACTTAACTTGCGTAGTCATTTAGCTTCTCACTCAGATCAGCGCCCATATGAATGTGATATTTGCAATTTCAGATTCAAAGTCAAATGTCACTTAACGGTTCATCGCAATAAGCACACGAAAGAAAAACACTACAATTGTAAGATTTGTAACAAGCAGTTTTTCTCTTCGAGTAACTTAAGTGCCCATTCGGCCACTCACTCAACTGAACGCCCTTTTGAATGCGATATTTGCAATTTCAAGTTCAAATTTAAGTCTCACTTAACTTCTCATCGCAATAAGCACACGAAGGAAAAGCAGTTTAGTTGCAACATCTGTCATAAAACGTTTTTATCTAAAAGTAACTTGGGTTCTCATTTGGTTAATCACTCTGACGAAAGGCCTTTTCAATGCGATATTTGTAATTTGCAATTCAAGCAAAAACGACGATTGAATTATCATCAAAGAAAACATACGAAGCAAGAGTAGAGTAAGAGTTAGTAAGTGAACAAGAAAGTAGTGAGAGAGTGGCTTAAGCTCGCACGGCAAAACCTAGAAAATGTGGAACAATTGAGCCACCAAATATTCGTAATAAACAAAAGTGTATGGCAATGGCAGAATGTAAAAAGCAATCAGTAGAAAGCAGTTCGACTGCAAAAAAAATTATAACTAAGCGCCTCATTAATTATAATAAACCCAAAAGAAAGTTTTAATTTTTCGAAATTCAGATGAGATTCAAAGTGTTTATTGTATGCAAAAAACGGATGTGTATATTAATGCTGCGCCGTTTTTTTTTAGAATCCTGTTTACATATTTCTTTCTAAAACCGTTGTTTTTTTAAATTCTTCTATACTGTCTGTACTGTCATTATTCCTATTGTGTATAATAAAGAAAAACGTCTGTAGTATTACATAACGTAGTCTAAAACCCTGCTATTTGATTGGAAAGAAGAGAAAATAGAGAACTGAATAAAACTTTAATTGTTTCTAGGAAAACTAAACTGAGTTCAAGTTATAGATTAACAATCCTTTTTATCTGCTTTCCGTAAACTGGCGCCCCATCCTCCATTGTATATCCATGAATCCTCAAAAAGCACGCACTACACTTGAACCACCTATAGATGATCTATCATACTGGCCTAACTGGCACTAAAATGGTACATTTATCCTGTTTATTACCAAAAAAACGACAACTGATATTTATTCCGTTGTCCATTTTCAGAAAAAAACGCACTGAGCTACAAAACTTGATATAATCTCACTCATTGCTTTCCTATTCTGTTCGATTTGAGATTTTTTCTTATTGATAATTTTCTAGAAATTACAAAAGTTTTGTAAAATAATTGAATGGTGATTTTTTAAATTATTTCCTGCACCTCTTAAGCGAGCAAAAAATTTCAAATTCTGATTTTCTCATTTTAAGGATGACCCAGAAAGAGCACATGAAGCCTATACAATGGGACACCCAATGTATATCAACTGACTTTTTCTGTTTTTCAGGTTCCAAACTGCTAATAGTGCAAAGCTGTACTGTAACATAAAAGAAGAAATTACAATCGAAGATCACGACATATTACAAATGGTAAAATTGGAAAAAGATGCCGAAGATGAACTTGTAGAAACCAATCAGCTGAACGGCAAGATATATAGCCAAACATTTGTACCTGTGAGCACTTTAAAATATCATTTAATAGCACATTCAAACCAGCAACAATTGAAAATTCATCAAAACAGCCATACGAAGGCAAACCAGTACGAATGTCAGGTCTGTCGGGAGAGTTTTCTATCTGCACTTGACTTGCGTAATCATTTAGTCTCTCACCCAGATCAGCGCCCATATAAATGCGATATTTGCAATTACAAGTTCAAATTTAAATCTCACTTAACTGCTCATCGCAATAAGCACACGAAGGAAAAGCGGTTTAGTTGCCAGATCTGTCATAAAACGTTTTTATCTAAAAGTAACTTGCGTTCTCATTTAGTCAGTCACTCTGATAAATGGCCCTTTCAATGCAGTGTTTGTAATTTGAAATTCAAGCAAAAACGACATTTAAATTATCATATTTGGAGAATGGCTTAGTTATTGGGAAAGAATCTAAAATTGCCAGCAACTTAATGCGGATTCTAATTCGGTTATAAGAACACTGTTTGCTGTTTATCCGGCCCATAAATATTTTTTTTACAATGGAAAAATATAATTTCTAATAGTCACATATTAAAAGTATTAAGTGAAATATACAGCTTCCGGAAATGGTACAGTTTTAATTCAATATAAAAGAGTCCGTTATAAAGGGTGTCTCAACAAGAGCGCCGGATTTAATATAAAAAAAATACATATTTTTTTCGAACTAAGCAAAAATGTATAATTCAATGTTAAGAGGAATAGCTGCGATTATACGGCACGGAAGTTTGCGGCTGAACCGTTTGATTTTTTTTAAGTATTATTTTATGAATTGTCCGACGCCTACCGAGCGCACATTTTAAAAATATTTTTGTAATGTACAGGGTGTCCCAAAAGCTCTAAAGGTATC